CACGAAATTTTATTTTGCTATTTTTTGCATATTTACGGGTTTTACTGCTATTTTGCTAATTTTAGGTTTTTAGTGCTATTTTTGGGTATATTTTCACATAAATACATATTATAGGAGATATTTTGCTAATTAGGAGTTATAAATGCTGTTAATGGGCATATTTAAGGAAATAAACACATATTGTTGAAAAACTAAATTACCTACCAAACAGCCGCCTACGAATATGTGAACGAAAACAAATTGTTTTATTTTAAGATGGTACGCATCCGGAATAAACGGCCTTAGACCGTTGTTATCGTCGATTAAATCGGACAATTCCTTTAATTTCCAATAATTTAGTTATTTTTAAAATTGTATCAAAATATGAACTGCAGTTATCGAATTCGTCGTATTTACGTAAGACACGGCGTTATCGCCGTACGTAAAGACCTATGATTTTATTTTGGTTTTCTGCGTTCTGCACTTCTGCCGTCATTTGCGTGTTGCGTGTGCGTTTGATCGTGAACTATCGTATTTATCGTGTTTAAAAATGCCCAAAGTTAAACAAAATTTGTCAAATCGGCTCCAAACCTATGTTAATTTATATGGTCCTAATATTTTTTCAATTGATAAAAGTGTATTATTTTGTAAAATTTGTGAAATCAAAGTTAATTCTGACAAAAAGTTTAACGTATCACAACATATAAAAAGTGACAAACATATCAAAGGCCTTGCCCGATATGAATATCAAATAAATCGGAAACAACAACAGTTATTGACAGCGACAAGTAATATAAGTAAAAAATCGTCATTTAACAAAGATTTGTGTGAGGCTTTTATTTCTGCTAACATTCCTTTGAACAAGTTAGAAAACCCAAAATTCAAAACATTTTTGGAAGTATATATAAAAAATGATATTCCGAGTGAATCCACGTTGCGAAAAGGATATGTGGATGATATTTACAATGAGACCATGGATAAAATTAGGAAAATAATTTCTGACAAAAAAATTTGGGTCAGTATCGATGAGACCACTGATGTACAGGGTCGTTACATTGCAAATGTAATAGTAGGCACTCTTGAGGAAAATAATGCAGGCAATATTTTTTTACTTAATTCGGAGGAACTAGAAAAAGCTAACCACTCCACAATCAGCAAACTTTTTGATAGATCAATGAGCATATTATGGCCGACTGGTATCCAACATGACAATGTACTTTTATTTTTATCCGATGCTGCACCTTACATGGTTAAATCAGGAGAAGCACTAAAAAGCCTTTACTCAAAAATGATTCATGTAACATGTGTTGTGCATGGACTGCACAGAGTCGCAGAAGAAGTTAGAAGTCAATTTCACGTAGTAGATAAAGTTATTTCAAGTGTAAAAAAAATCTTTAGAAAAGCCCCAAGTCGTTTACTTGTATTTAAATCGGAAGCGCCAAACTTACCCTTACCTCCGGAGCCAATTATCACACGTTGGGGAAGTTGGATTAACGCAGCAATTTATTATTGCGAGAATTTCGAGATAATCCACCGTGTTATTTTTATGCTAGACAGAAACGATGCAGTTAGTATTAAAGATGCTCAAGATAACATCATAAAACCTGGATTGAAAAACAACTTAACGTATATTAAGTCGAACTTTGCCAAATTAATTTTGGCTATTGAACAATTACAACAGCAACATATACCTTTATCGGATTCACTAAAAATAGTTCAAGATATTCAAAAATCATTTGAAACATTAAGTGGTTCAAGTGGAAAATCTGTTCAAAATAAATTTAATCAGGTACAGGAAAAAAATCGTGGTCTCTCGGCGTTGGTAAAAATATCACAAGTTCTAACGGGTGAAGAGACATTCCGAAATTTAGATGGTCTTCCTGAAGACTTAAATTGTAACGACTTAACATTTTTTAAGTACGCACCCCTGACGTCTGTTGATGTAGAGCGGTCATTCTCGGCATACAAAACTCTACTATCAAATAATCGTAGATCATTCAAATTTGAAAATATAAGAAAACATCTTATTATTCAGTGCAATTTTTAAGGTAAATAAAATTAATACACTATATTATTCATTTATTAATAATATATTATTCATTTATTAATAAATTGTTTTATATGTTTATGTTAACAGAAAATGTTCCAGAGCCGGAAAAGTGCCTACTTCTCAAATATTTACTATATCATATTTTATAAAAAAAACTTGTATAATTTAAAAAAATTTTAAATAAAAAATTTTATTTTGCATATTTTCCAATTTTTAGTGCTATTTATAGCGCTTATATTAATGTTTTTATGTGCATATTTAAGCGCTAAAAATCATTTTTTTTAGTGCTATAACTTCCGAGCCCTGCTTATGACTTATGAGTTATGGATATTTGTAGCCTTCGCTGCGTAGTTTCGTCAAGAACAGTTTACACTCGCGGAAGATTCAAAATAATTTCACATAATATTACTAAAAAAAAAAAAAACCCGTACCGAGAATAACAGTAAAAATAACAATAAAATAAACTACCGTTGTACGCGACTCAATCGCAATCGCGTCGTAACGATGCGTATTTTTCGTTTTTATTTATTTATTTTTATAGCAGATAATACGATGTAAAAGACGAACGACAATATGGGAGAAGAGGTTATGGACCCCAAGTCCGATAATGCGTCGAAAATTGTCAGTGTGAAACAGAAAGCCTGCAGTGGATCACGCAAAAACTACATTATAATATATTATGCATATGCACATTGCACATGCGCAAACAAACGTAATATGTATGTTTTATATATTATATGAAACCCCTTTAGTCTTTTCCTCTTTTACCGCTGACTGTATTTAGATATTACAACGGCCACGCAACCATGGTTTAAATTCCATATACTCGCGCACGCACACACATGTGTGTCACATTATAGTATGTAACGTATTATAACAGAGTAATCCCTTGTCGTATGATAATAAACAAATGTAATATTTTATCTACCACACGCGCCAGTGTTCCGCGGATATCTGAGAAGATTTTTGTGAGAAAAGTGGTTTCTCTCTGTATACACTTCTCCGAGATGTGTCGGTACGCATTGTGTTTGACACAATGCAAAACTATTTATGATAATTGCACGTACACAAAATTGAAACGCATTAATAGTTTACATATTTTTAGCGCTACGGCGTACGCACGTCTCGTACATGCACATAATACCGACACTAATAAATATATAATACTATTATTGTATCTATAATAGATACACGTGGATTATGCATTATATATATATATATATATATATATATATATATATATATATACATATTATGATATGAGGTGTGTTTTGCCTAGTAGATGTAATAAATTATAATAATTGAACGATTTCGTTTTTAAATGACTATAAAAAGGCATAAAGTACGCATATTTACGTACATGTTTATAATTAGAATATTATATAAGCTCGACGGAAAAAAGATAATAAAAAAAAAATTAAAGTTCATCTAAAACAAATTTTGATAATAAACATACCTATACGACGTGAACGCGAAACCACATAATATAATATATATTAATATTGTGTATACATTGATACGACGCGTCATCATAAAGCACAACTCCTATTCATCGTCGAGACGTGTGTATAATGGTTATCCAATTATTTAATGGGAAGAAAAAAAAACAAAGAAAACACATTGTAATACTTGTGTGACAATACAAAAATTCATCATTAGCACACAACACACCACAAAATACACACATCGTACAATGTGTATGTGAATGCTATACGCGGTTCGCATATCTGTACAGTATAGTTGTGTAGCTGGTGTTTACTGTATATTGCATAGGAATTTTTCGAAGTACTAAGAAACAATTTAGGCATCGGTGCTTAGAGGTATTTCGATTGAAATGTAGTTCGGGAAACCGGTTATCGCGTTACATGTTTGTAAGCGTATGTCATTTCCTATAATATTTAAATACTTGAGCCTATGATATTTTTTTTAACAAAAAGAATATCAAAAAAATTTAAAAGAAATGAAAAAGTTAAAAATGTATGACTCGTCTTCTTAGACGTCGAAAAATGTGTGATCGAAAATATTCATAAACCATTACATTTTGTACATACTTGAGCGGATTATTATACTTGGAACAATGCTTAATATATATTACAAGTCCCATATATTACATGTTGCAAACGCGAAACAGTATAATATTATTTTCGATTTACGGAGTACGAAATAATTAATTATTAATCCCTGAAAAAGTGGTTTAATATTGATTAATGCACTTCTAGAGTCCGTTGTGGTGGCGTATATTTTATTGTATCTTATTGCAATTTTAACGTACTTGTGCCGAATTTTCTCAACTCAATCCGTTCCGTACGAATTACGTTAAAGTGTATAACTAATTAATTAATTCAAAATATTATATTCTGAATATGATAATGTACCAACACTTATTAACGTTAATTTGTTACTTTAATTGTGGAATAAAAATATTCAAGGTTTTTTTGTGCACTGCCGCAGCATAATACAATATTATACTACAATACACATTACTCTGTAGTCTTTACGAAAAATTATATTTACATATATTTATGTATTAGACTACTACTCTGTTAGAGTACAGTTCCTAAGGAACTTAGTATACGCATATATAATATGTAGTTAATATTTTATTGAGTTATAAAAATAATGCACGAATTTATAATTATATACTTGAATAATTATGATATTCAATCAGCCGATTATGAATTACTCACAAATAAACATCATATATGGTTTTATTTTTAACCTTTGTAATCGTGTTTTTAATCGTAAATTTCTATAATACACCATGTAAATGTATGGTACATTTCAAACCGTGGTTCATAATAATGTGATGACATGAGAAGAGTGAAGAGCATGTTGGCCTTAAAATCACATTATATAGTATATTGTTTTTTTCACTGCTTGGCCTTTAGAATTATAATGCTAAGTTAATAAATTGTTGGTTTACCAAATACACACAAATATTACTTTATTATATTATACTCAAAATGCTTACTGAACGCAATGGAAACAGACTGCGTGGCTATTGGAGAATGCATTCTGAAATGTTCGTCCATGTTCGTGGCCATTTTTGATGTTCCACTTATGTTATTCGTCTTATCGAATCAACTGAAACAATAAAATTTTTGTATCATTATTACTATTATTATTATTTTATTAAATATCATGTTTTAAGTAATGTTTTTCTGCAGGGTTACCGGAGCTAAACGACAGGATTAGAGTCTTCCCTCTTTGAAATAACAATAATCAGAATATTAAAGGAAGGAAGAATTAAAAAAAAACATTTTAACGATCGTTAAAAAAACAACCGCAAGGAACACTATTAGTTATTACTTATTAGTTATTACACTAGTGACCTAGTTACTCGTCTGTCTCGCCAACGAATGGTGTGCGCGTTACTCCGCGGGTCGAGCGTATATATATATATATATTATAAGATACATCATATATGTTAAGATATTATATACACAAAGAAGGAAATGAGATACCGAGGTATACCTGTATGGTATTGTAGGTGAACCAACTTACAATACAGGGCTGTTGGTGAAAATTCCAAAAGGAATAGAGACACGTATGTACATTTTTTAAGAGTCTACTTACATCTTTGAAATTGTGTCCTTGGGCATAGTCGGACACAAAAGACATATTTGCGTGACTGGTGTGCGTAAAAATAAAAGAAAAGAAAATAAGATCGCAAGATATTTCTTTTCTTTCTATTATAGTAGTCGCTGCACTAGTTGCTAAAAATAATAATGATGATAATATATACATATTCGTTTTTTAGCACAGTGAAAACGACGTCTTTTACTATCTACAGTCATATCATAACTAGGAAGATGTATTAAATGTCACAAAAATCGTAATAAAAGAATCAGAAGATTCAACTTTGAAATATTTTATCAGATATAATAAGTTAGACATTCGGGATAACACAAAAAAATATATTAATAATACAATTACAAGAATTAGAAGTTTATGATTAAGTTACAATAATTAAATCGAAATTTTAACATTTTATAATGTATAATACTATTGTCCATTTATATATATATACATTATACACAATTAAAACAAAATTAAGAATATTGTGTTAACCACGTAATTCAGTAATGAATAATGATGCACAAAAGCATCGTTTAAACTTTTAACAACTTTGAGTACCTATGCACCTTGTTAAAATATTGTTATTTCGTATATACCACGTAGAACTCATTACCCAACTGTACAAAAACTCCGAATAATCAAAATCTTGCCGCCAAACGACTAAAACCAACACAACCCGATATCATAATTAATATTGTTCTCTTTATATAGTACCTACATTAGTATAGTGTATATTATTGCTTGTATTTAAATTTTCAATATAATGTCGATAATTACAAATATATTTTAGAAAGAAAAATATTTTATTATACGAGAATTCAACTCCAAGTAAAGAATAAAATTTTGAAACACTTACCGTACATACAAAGGACATTACTTAGAATATTGTTTACGTGAATGCCGTCTACTGTCTAGACTTATAGTCGCGATTATAACGAACGACGGCGACCACCAGTGTTGTACACGCGTCTTATATCATGACGTATGTATTATATCGTATACAAATCGTTAAACAGAGAACTGAGTTTCGTCCGTTTAACCCTAAACAGCCACACTTTGACATACACAGCCATACATCCACATTATTCAGTTGTCTACGTAGCTTAAAATCCAAAATGCATGTGTCCAAGTACTGCAGTACAGATCAAATATTTTTTTCAAACGTCATAAACACATTGTTTTGTGGAATATAATGTTTATAAAAATGTTTATAAAAACTCGTTCCCACAGGATCACCGGGAATTGACTATTAACTATTTAGACGAAATTTCGGACATGATCTCGCTGTCATCGTCTGGATTGAATGAATATGATATTTGTCTAGTAATTTGTTGTCTTCTAATAATTATTATATTTAATAATCACGTACACACAGACTTTATATACGTGATGTTATAAGTTTATATATATTATAAACATACACTCTATCACCATGATCCTACACACTGGTTATCGACGAGGTCAACACATGCCTAACTGGCGTAGCACAAATATTTGTACCCGACCGATAGGAAACACGTCCAAAATAATGTAAGGGACCTGCGACGACGAGGGGGAGACGCATTAACTATCGACCCGCCGCCGCCGCCACCACCACCGTCGTTGCCGCCACCGCTGCTGCCAACGCCAGAACGTATATTATATTACTATATATATATATACTCTCCCAAACGTTACACCAAAAAACGGACAGAGCTTCTCCGCAGTATATACGAATACAATAAAATATAATATAATATCCTTTCTTCCTGCACACAAGAGAAAATGATTGAGAATTTTTTGTATAAATTGGTTTTCCTATAGGTAAGTAAATGCCGTACGTTCCAAACTTATTCGAAATGTAATTCAAATCCAGTTCAAATCGATTGGAATAACATATACGTGAAACTCAATAAAAATATAAATATTATATTTTGAATTTCGCTTTAACGTGAAAAATGGAAACTACGGTTTTTTCTTCAATATATTAATATGTACAGCTTACTCGCAGAATATACACACGGCCATATAATATAACAATAATAACAATGACGAATTCGTTTAGAGTGTATAATATATAGTATACATAAGTACATATAAATATATTTACGTGTATTACGCGCCGTGCAGTTATCTTTTGTTATTAACGCGTTTTCCCGATGTTTTTATGTTTCTACTGCACAAATAAGGCGGACGCGGGTTATAATATTATTTCCATTTACAATATCATATACTCATATTATAATATTATACAGACGTGTTGCAGTTGTTTACGTCGAGTGGTTCATTACCATCTGTGGGCGGAGGCGACTAGCGACGAGGGCATTGCACGTTTTTATTATTTTTTTCCCCCCGATCGGTCGGAAGCGGCGTGCAACGTCCACAAGCACACAGATACCACCTATTTTGTATAAATATACATAAAAATTAGAAAAATAATATGTATATATAATACATTATATAATTACTCATATGCTAGAATCATCTGCTTTTTTAATCAAACGCGTATTTTTTACAACGAAAATGCGGTGTTTTATATAGATATAGCCGATATAGGTGTATTGCATATTTGTACACATTGCAGTAATGCACTCTTGAAAACTCGTAATTTAACAAAGTTATACGTAATGATAATATGGTTATCACGTACCTACCTACAAAATAAAATAGTATTACAACGCATAATCACGTGAATTATACATTTATACATTGTAATATGCGGTGTTTCAAACTGACAAACTGCAATATTCAAGAATTATTACGAATTATGCTCCAATGTGTATAATTTCTTCGGGCACACGGTTTCTAGATACGAACCAATCATATTTATTTATAAATTATAATATTATCGGTAATAATGATCATTGATAATTATATGCACTTTCAATAATAAAATTGCCTATTTTATGTAGAAATTGATATTATTTGCCAATAAATGTTAACAATGATTAATAAATTAAATGTATCAAATACTTATCTACCATATTTTTAAAATTGTGAATATTAGCCGATAAATTATGATCAATGTCTGATGTTCATTAGTCATATACTATGTGATAATAATAAGATAAATAATTGTATTTATAAAAAATTAATTATTAAGTTTTAAATTAATTATTATTAAAATTAATTTTCATGTAGTATACTGCAGTGGCATATTGAATCACGTATTGCTAGCACAAAAAACACTCATATACGTCTCATATTCCATTTCGAAATCAAATTTTTTTAAATCCTTGTGATCCAGCTGTGATATTACGTAAACTTGCTGCTTCCCGAAAAATTATCTCTTTTTATTGAGCCTGCCAGTTTTAAAAAGATTTAAGTTCAAAACAAATTTAATAATACCTACATAAAAATATAGCATTTCCTAGGAAACAAATAGTTAGTTCTTGAATTATCAATATTACAAGCAATAGACAAGCATATATAATATTTTAATATAAATTACTTATCTCGCAGAAAGTCTTCGCGTCATAGCATTGGATAGTATCAATATAATATTATTCGTTAAAATTATTTCTAGAAAGAATTATTAGACATGGACAGAACGTCAGAATATATAAGTAGGAACTAGTAAATATATTATAATATTAAATACATAGGTTATAGATAGGATTAGTTGTATGTAATTACGACGATACATTTTGTGGTATATGATACAATAACATATATGATACATATAACTATAAGAGTTGTACAATTATTTTACATAATAACATTATAAACAATAATTGTTTTCAGAGCAAATACTCGTATTAATAAATGTTTTTGATGTATAATAATTTGATATTTTAAGGAAAATAAAGACATGATTATGTACAGTTCAAACAATTTTTGGAGGAAAACAAAATTGAATTTCATTTTTGGAAGGATATAGTCTTGCTCCGTTATTTATGAACCAACTAACAATATTATTCTAAAATTTGATGTATATTGCAACACAATTGCATAATAATATAACACAACTGGCAGCCCAGTGATCAAATATACTCTTGAATAACTTTTTTTTCATAACATAGTTGATTGTAATTCACAATAACATATACGGGAGTTTACTAATTGTGCTTAAAATTACTATTTTATATACCAATTGCGATCTATAAATTTTTGGGTCAATAGACCAATAATTGCGCTCTATACATTTTAGGGTCGTCGATAGATCAATTGCGCTAAAAACATTTTAAAATACTTAATGAAAACTTATTAGTTATAATTTATAATTATATAAGAAATTAATATTGAATACACACATCGATTTCTTTACGAGTATAAATACAGAATATAATATAAATAAATAAATATACTCAATTATTCAAAATTATGAGAACTATATCGATGTTTATATAATATTTTCATATCTGAAGATAGGAAAATTGAAATACTAGCGCTATTAGTATACTGACTCTAAACAAAAACTTTGTTTTAGGCGTAATTGGTTCATGCCCACATATATACGGCATACATAAAAATTACTTGAAATATAAAAAGGCATAAGAGAGATCACTATAATAATATAATATTAT